GGGGGCGTAGATGACGTCTCTGACAACGCTGCATCCCATGGCCGCCCCTTCACCGATCGTGCCAGTGCCCCTCTGACACGGATTGGGAAATGGAGCGGGGACAGGGATGGGGAGGGACTGTTGTTTTTATTCTGCGCTGGGAAAGTTGTATCCTGTCGCGGTTTGCTTGGAGGGTGGGGGGGGGAATGCTTCATGGTTGACCGTCTGTCTAATTGACCAATCTCCCCGCAGGACGTGTATCGGATTCAACTAAGGCTGCAGAACGATGCTGAACCAGCCCAGAGGGAGCACCTAAAGACCAAGGTATCTGGCTCCGAACCTGGCATCACTTTCTCGGTTAAGGTCGGGCCCAGTGGGGAATAGGGGGTGGGCTACCTGTTGGATATGGACCCTGACATTTTTTTGCCCAGCCCCGGTCCCTCTGCACACACCGCAGGCAGGGGCAGTGAGATGCAGCCTGCGGAGGAACACTGGGTTTTCAATCTCCGCAATTTCCTCCTCCCTTTTTTCTTCTTTCTCACCTTCTCTCGACCCGAGGCAACTTTGTCGTTTAATTCTCTCGAGCTCCATCACACGCCCCCCCCTGCCCCCAGCCAATCCTTCTACTTGGCTTCAGTGAACCTAATTTTCAATGGTTTTGATCAATCTGTGCTCGAATATGTTAGTCTGCTCACCGATCTCTGTTCACTGTACCTGATTGCTCAAAGCTGTCTCTCGCCCGAAGGGGAGGGAAAGGGGGCTGTTCTTTCCCCCTCACACCCCTCCCACCACCCCTCTGGGACTTTTGGGAGCAATTTCAAGTCTTTTCACCCCTTGATATCCACAGGGCTGCCTCTTCAGCAGTTAGCACGGCGCCAGGGACCCAGGTTCGATTCCACCCTTGGGCGACTGTCTGTGTGAAGTCTGCACATTCTCCCCATGTCTGCGTGGGTTTCCTCCCACAGTCCAAAGATGTGCAGGTTAGGGTGGATTGGCCGTGCTAAATTATCCCGTAGTGCCCAGGGATGTGCGGGTTAGGGTGGATTGGCCGTGCTAAATTATCCCGTAGTGCCCAGGGATGTGCGGGTTAGGGTGGATTGGCCGTGCTAAATCGTCCTGTAGTGCCCAGGGATGTGCAGGTTAGGGTGGATTGGCCGTCCTAAATCGTCCCGTAGTGCCCAGGGATGTGAGGGTGAGGGTGGATTGGCCATGCTAAGTTGTCCCGTAGTGCCCAGGGATGTGCGGGTTAGGGTGGATTGGCTGGGCTAAATTGTCCTGTAGTGCCCAAGGACGTTTAGGCGAGGTGGGTCAGACATGAGGAGATGCAGGGGGAGGGGAAAGGATCTGGGTGGGATTCTCTTTGGAGGGGTGGTATGGACTTGTTGGGCCGAATGGCCTGTGATTCTATGATTCTAATTCCTCTCCTCTTCATTATGAAACGTTTGCCTCTGCTCTCTGTGCCCTGACCTTTGAGCTCCCACTGCTCCCCCCCCACCAGCCCTCTCAACCCTGCGTAGTGCCATTTTTGGAGAGGTGTACTGACATGAGTCAGTGTTACACGCACCCGCATGCACACCCCAATTAGTAACTAAATCTCTTGACGATGAAGTCAACAAAGATCAGGCAGTTTGCGTTTTTCCACGCTAACCCCCCCTACAGTGGGATCTCTCCTTGTTTGATGTATTTAGAGTCGTAGAGGTCTACAGCATGGAAATAGGCCCTTCGGCCCGACTTGTCCATGCCGCCCAGTTTCCACAATGAACCTAGTCCCATCTGCCTGCATTTGGTCCATATCCCTCCTTACGTCTCCCATCCATGTACCTGTCTAAATGGTTCCTAAGTGACAAAACCCTCTTGCACTGCAACCGTTCACCACCCTCTGTGTGGGAGATAGAACTCCCCCTTATGGACCCTTTTGTATCTCTCTCATCTCTCCCTTCTCACTATGCCCTCTAGTTTTAGATTCCCCTTCCCCTAGGGAAATGCTGCTGCCTAATCTACCTTCTCTATACCTCTCATGATTTTGGAAATCTCTTATAAAGTCATCCCTCAGTCTCCTACGCTGCCAGCCTATCCAGCCTCTACTAAGAACTGGAACTTTCCAGACCTGGTTGCATCCTTGTAAATCTTCTCTGCACTCTATTTCCAGTTTAATGGTATCCTTTCTGTAGCAGGGCGAGCTGAACTGTACGCAATATTCCAAATGTGGCCTCACCAACGTCTTGTACAGCCCCAACAAGACATCCCAACTCCTGTACTCAATACTCTGACCGATGAAAGCAAGCGAGCTGGAATGCTTCATCACTGCCCTGTCTACCTGTGACTCCACTTTCAAGGAACTATGTGCCTGTAGCCCTAGATCTCTATGTTCGGCAGCTCTCCCTGAGGCCTTGCCCCTTAACTGTGTAAGTCCTGCCCTGGTTTGCCTTACCGGAATGCAACAGCTCGCATTTATCTAAATTAAACCCCCATCTGCCATTTCTTAGCCCAGAAGATCAAGACTTGTTGAGTAGTGATAACACAGTGGAGAGCTGGAGGAACACAGCAGACCATGGCAGCATCAGAGGAAGCAGGAAAGCTGACGTTTCGGGTCGGGGACGCTTCTTCAGAAACGTCAGCTTTCCTGCTTCCTCTGATGCTGCCTGGCCTGCTGTGTTCATCCAGCTCCCACACTGTGTTATCTCAGACTCCAGCATCTGCAGTTCGTATTATTCTTTTTTGAGTGGTGATTACCGACTATAGAGAGGGAGAGTCAAGCTGTATTGGGAGAGGAATGCATGTGGCGGTAAAGATATTTCTGCTCTGTCTTTTAAAAAAGAAATGTTCAGAGGGGAAAGGGAGAGTCACAAAAAGAAAATGAAACAATCAGGTTGCAGAGCGGGGCAGTTCTGCATTTCTTTATTGCCCAATAAAAACCGAAAGAACTGCGGATGCTTTAAATCAGGAGTGAAAACAGAAGTTGCTGGAAAAGCTCAGCAGATCTGGCAGCAAAGTTTCAGGTCCGGTGACCCGTCCTCAGAACTTGGTTGTGTTGTTAATTTATTTCTCGTTTGTTTGCTTAACTGTGTGTGTTTCTGATCATTTTTATTCTCTCTGCTCCTCACCTTTAGCCTGTGGGCAGGGCGTACGCTGTCGTGACCTCCAGAGGTAACGGCGATTCAGCTTGGGATGGTGAAACCCTCAAGGTACAGATCACTGCCAGACCTTCTGCAGTCTGAGCTACCCCGCCAAAGTTAAATTTGTTTCTATTTTGCTCTGTCTTTCTCCTTCCTGCGTCTGATCAATGTTCGTTTTCTCCCGCCCAACCCCATTTTCCTGCTTGTTCTCCTACTCCCTGCGAGATCTGAACGCCGCTGTCATGGTGTTCAGTGGTTTAATTGATCTGTGTCCGAGTATGTTAGTCTGTGCACTGATCTCTGTTCACTGTGCCTGATTGCTGAAGGTGTGCATGTTTATCGCTGGGGATGGAGTAAAAAGGTGGGGGCTTAATTGACAAGTTATTTGAATATCATGGGGAGCTTTCGCTTCTCCTGCAGTCCCTTCATTTTGGACACTGCTGGCTGCTTCGCTATCCTCTCCTGGTCTCCGGGTCTTGGTGAGGGAAGAGAATTTGACACAATATGCAGGTGTGAGTTGGTATGGTCCGATGTGGCACTGATGGGGCTTTCTGTTGCTTTCTCTCTTGCAGACACGCAGTCTGTACGACCCAGATCTGAAAAGCATGGTCACAGAGGCTCAGAGACACGACGAGTCCTCTCTGAGGCAGCTCCGCACTGAGCTCCAACACATCAAAGAGGTTTGTTTTGACTTGAATTGAGTTTCCACTCATTGACAGAGAGAGAGAGAGTGCTGAACCAGGATTCCACAGAATGTAGAGGGAGCTTTACTCTGTATCTAACCCCGTGCTGTCCCTGTCCTGGGGAGTGTTTGATGGAGGACAGTGTAAAGGGAGCTTTACTCTGTATCTAAACCTGTACTGTCCCTGTCCCTGGGAGTGTTTGATGGGGGACAGTGTAGAGAGAGCTTTACTCTGTATCTAACCCCGTGCTGTCCCTGTCCCTGGGAGTGTTTGATGGGGGGACAGTGTAGAGGGAGCTTTACTCTGTATCTAACCCCGTGCTGTCCCTGTCCTGGGAGTGTTTGATGGGGGGACAGTGTAGATGGAGCTTTACTCTGTATCTCACCCTGTGCTGTCCCTGTCCTGGGAGTGTTTGATGGGGGGACAGTGTAGAGGGAGCTTTGCTTTCTGTTGGGAAGAGTAGAGGCAGCTCTACTTGGGGGAAATGTTGGATGATTGTGGATCGTTAACTGTCGGTCTGTGTCTCTAGGTGAGACATTCAATGGAGAATGTGCGTGTGCAGTTACACAGTCGGATCAATGGGTTGAGACAGGATACTGTGGACTACCGCGCTCGATCTGAGGTAAATGTAATTTATTAATGTCTGTTTTTATCTTACATTTCTTGGTCCTATCTCCCATTGCTGACCACTACTACACACCCCCAAACCCCTCAATCCCAATCCCTTTCACAAACCTTCACCTCCTCCGGCCCCCTACACCCCCTCCCTATCTCTGTCGCCTCCTCCAGCCCCC